TATGTATGTATGATGTTTCTTCTTTCTTTCGCACCCCATGTTTAGATATGGATTTGATTAACCACCACTGTAGACGTGTACGGGTGCCTCTTCTTTCAGATTATAGTCGTGTTAAGATTGTGACCCTCAAAAAATAAAAAAAAAAAAAAACGAAAAAAAAAAAAAGAGTGTGGCCCTCAAGGAGCTGTATTAAATCATGCCAAATTTACCTAGTTGAATTTGTCTTTACCAGAAATCTGTTTTTTCCATTTGAGATAAAGATGGAGGGATTATCTATCATTCAGTATAAATTGTTTTTAATTTTTTTAATGTTTATTCTTGAGAGAGAGAGAGAGAGAGGAGGGGCAGAGAGAGAGAGGGAGACACAGAATCCAAAGCAGGCTCTAGGCTCCGAGCTGTCAGCACAGAGCCTGATGGGGAGCTTGAACTCATGGACTGTGAGATCATGACCTGAGCCGAAGTTGGACGCTTAACTGACTGAGCCACCCAGTTGCCACTCAGTAGAACTTGTTTTTAGGGTCTTTCTCCTGTACTTGGTTAGGCACTTTGTAAATAATAATAATAATAATAATAATAATAATAATAATAATAATAAAATAATAATTAGACTATTCCAATCATTTCAAGGAGTCTTTGTAGCTCTTTACATAAAGAGTCTGCTGGATATTTTCTAAATACTTTTCAGGTAGTGCTGTGTATAAACACAGGAGGTTCACTGTACAAGGGCACTCTACCAAGCATTGAGTGGGATCTAAAATCACACTGTCCAGTGCTCATAAAAATGTGCTCCCCTGAATGAGAGATTTTAATTTGAACTAAGGCTGGGGATGGCATGGGCTGTAGGGGCCCTGAGACTTCTGTAAAATTCTGTCTTAATCTTCTGAGACTTGAAGTTTGTCAATTTTTCCTTTTGTCTTGATTTTTTAAAAATTATGATTAAATAAATATATATATATATATATACATATTACAAAATTTATCAGTTTGACCATTTTTAAGTATACAGTTCTGTGGCATTAAATATATTCATATTTTTGTGCAGTTATCACCATCATCAATCTCCAGAACTTTTTTATCCTCCCTAACTCTGTACCCATTAAACGTTCACTCCCCATATACCACCTCCCCACCCCCTGCTAATCACCATTCTACTTACTGTCTGTATGAGTTTAACTACTCTAGGTATCTCATATGAATGGAACCATACAATATTTGTTCTTTTGTGAATGACTTATTATACTTAGCATGTCTTCAAGGTAGCATGTGTCAGGATTTCCTTACTTTTTAAAGCTTAATAATATTGCATTGCATGTCTAGACCACATGTTATTAGCATTTTTTAAATGCTTGCTTGCTTTTGAGAGAGGGAGAGAGAGAGTGGGTGCACAAATGGGGTTGGGGCAGAGAGAGGGGGGATAGAGTTTCTGAAGTGGTCTCTGTGCTGACAGCAGTTTCTGATGTGGGGCTCGAACTCACGAACCATAAGATCATGACCTGAACTGAAGTTGGACACTTAACCAGCTGAGCCACCCAGGTGCCCCTAGACCACATGTTATTTATCCATTCATCTATTGGTGGTCACTTGGGTTACTTCCATATTTCGATAATTATGAATGATGCTGCTATGGACGTGGAGGTGTACAAATTTTCCCTGCTTTCAGTTCCCTGGGGTATGTATGTACCCAGAATTATAATTGCTAGATCATGTGGTGATTCTATGTTGAACTTTTTGAGGAAATGCCATGCACTTACTCTTAGTTGACTGCAGCATCTTAGCTTCTCGTCGGCAATGCCCAAGGCTATCCCACTTTCTCCCACGATTCTCGCCCAACATTTGTTATTTTCTGTTTTTTGTGATTGGTTACAATAGCCATCCCCATGGACGTGAAGTTGTGTCTCCTTGTGGTTTTCATTTGCATTTCTAGTGGTTGGTGATGTTGAGCATCATTTTATGTGTTCATTGGCCAGTTGGAGATCTTTGGAGAAATATGTTTGCGCATCCTTTGCCCAGATTTCATCACATTGTCTTTTTTAGTTATTGAGTTTTAAGAGTTCTTATATATTCTGATTACTAACACCTTGACAGAGATAGAATTTACAATTTTTTTTTTCCGATTACATGGGTTACCCTTTCATTCTGTTGATAATGTGTTTTGATGCACAAAAGTTTTTAATTTTGAGAAATCTGTTTTATCTCTCTCTTTTATTTTCTTTTTTAGCCTGTGCCTTTGGGATCATATACAAGAAATCATTGCCAAGCTCCCTGTCATGTAGACCTGTATATATATATTTTTCTAAATGCTGTATCATTCTAGCTTTTATGTATAGATCTTAGATCCATTTTGAGCTTATCCTTCTGCATGTGGATACCCAGTTTTCCCATTGTCTTGATGTTTCAAAGACTATCTACAGTCATCTTTTCAATAGCTGGGAATTAGATGAAGGAGGTAACCCCTGATCCCAAGTCATGGTAGAAGTAAAATTGCACTTACTCTTCTTAAAGCATTTTTGTTGTTGTTGTTGTTAAGTTTATTTATTATTTTGAGAGAGAGAGAGAGCGGGGAAGGGGCAGAGAGAATGGGAGAGAGAGAATCCTAAGCAGACTCCTCACTGTTAGTGCAGAGCCCAATGGGGGGCTCAATATGGTGGCTCGATGTGATCCCATGAACCTTGAGATCATGACCTGAGCCAAAACCAAGAGTCAGACACTTAATCAACTGAGCCACCCAGGAACCTCCACCCCCCCCCCGCACCCCCCCACTTACTCTTCCATTATCCAGGAATAATTTAACTGGTTTATGAAAGTAAGTGCAGAAGGACCAGGTAAGCATTCACTCCCTCATAGTCTATATCATTTGGCAGCTGTTGGCTGGTACATGAGGTCATCTCCTTGATGTGTAGAGTGGAGAAGAAAGGGGCTAAGCCATTCCTAAAGCTGATCTGGGTAAAGAAGAGTGGATTCTGAAAACTCTGCCCTTGGGTCTCTGCCCATGCCCCTCACGGTGCATGAGAACCACAACTAGGCTACTCTCCTTAGCCATCTTTAAGTTCAGTAATGAGTGCTCTGCAACAGCTGTCTAATTCTATTGTAAATTCCATGAATTCTTGGTACAGAGTGGTGATTGTATTTTGATAGAGACAGTAAGAGAAATTCCATGGTATCTTGAATATTTAAAGACCTTCCATACACTGTAACACAAATATTGCGTGCCTATACTGGGAGGAGCCAGTATACCTGTTTTTGTGACAGTTAAAAAGATAATGGGATGAGAGAAGAAAAAGGGCATGAAGACTGTCAAAAGTTGAAAGATGGTGGGTACATTTAGTGGGTAAGAATATGAACTTTATAATCGGGAAGAACTGGGTTCTGATGTTCTACCATTTATAAAATGTTTGCTTTGGGCTAGTTAAACTTTTTCAGGTTCTTTTTTTGTTTGTTTTGTTTTTTGTTTTTCTCATCTGTATGGTGAGAATAATAATAACTGATGTTATGGGTCTTTGTGAGATGAAATGAAATGAAAAGTACATATCAAGTGCTTTGACAAGGCTAAGCCTACTCTAAATGCTCAATAAGAAGTTAACATTGATGAGGGGAGATAATATCCTGTTACAGGCTTGTTTGTTTACTAAGGATCTTTGTCCTGAAAAGAGATAGCTAGATATATTCTAGGAGGAAATGTAACAAGTCATAAATCTACTGGTTTGTCTTTGTTTCTACTTTGTTGTTGTTTCTTTCAGCTATTTTAGATTGCCCCCCCGCCCCCCGCGCTGAGGGCTGCTAACATGTTTCTTTTGTTTCCTTTTTAGTACCAGTGTCCCCC